CTAGAATGTACACTATTGTGTTGGAATGGAATTAGAGGTATTAGTGCAAGCTCACAATCTTCAATACACACATACATATACAAAATAAGCATCAATAAAAGCAAGTAAACATATCTGCAGAGTATATGTATGGATGAACATATCTGCACAGTATGTGTATGGATGAACATATCTGCACAGTATGTGTATGGATGAACATATCTGCACAGTATGTGTATGGATGAACAGATATACACTCATCTCTGGGTGTCTGTGGGAGGGTTTGGTTCTAGAACCCACCATATCCAAATCCATGGGTGCCCAAGTCCCTTCAGATCTCTTACATGTAACAGTGTAGTATTTGCATATAATCTACTCATATCCTCCCCCACGCTTTTTTCCTTAATATTTTTTCTTTTACATTACTTTTTCCCCATGAGCTTGAGAAAGACAAATATGCAGATTCAATAGGGACTTGACACCATCATCCACTCCCAGTCTCAGCCAGCCCCAGATCACGGTCACATGTGCACCTAACATACTCAGGGACATCTCCATGCAAGAACCTGGAACCTTCCCATGTTGCTCAGTCTTGTAGACCTTTATGTTTTACCACTACTCCACTGTCCAGCCACCTTCCTTACACTTTAAATTGCCTCTAGATAATTTATACCAAAACAATGTAAATGCTATGTAAATAGTTGTTACACTATGTTGTTTAATAAATGACAAGAAAAAACTCAGAATAAGTTCAGTATAAAAGCAATCATAAGAACTAACACATAACTCATGTCAGTAAGAAGGTAACACTTGGGGGGGCCAGTAGGTGGCACAGTGATTAACGCATTGCATTCCTACATGGCCAACCATGGCTTGAATCCTAGACCCGGAAGCTTGCTTTCTTCCTTTCTCCCTTTCTCCCATTCTCTCTCTCTGGTGAGTATATGTGCCCTAAAGCAAATTAAAAAATAATAGTAATACATAATTTTTTTTAAAAAAAAAGAAGGTAACACTTTCCATCCCTGGTTGGTTGAATATTCAGATGTGAACCCACAGACATGGAGAGCTAATTCAATAGAGAAACAGAGGATATAATAAATGTTTATTAGTCAAGTTTGTGAACAGCATCACCAAAAAAGCACACACCAAGTGTGGTTCTTGGCTTCTTCAGAATAACATCTTCCAGTAAAGGAAGCAGGACCCCCTTAAAGAAATCACTGATTCCAGAACTTAGGCAGGAAAAGTAGAAAACAAGCCTGAACCATCTTGCAGCAGAAAGCAAGAAAAGTGCTTAAAATCACAGAGAGGCCAACTTGAAGGGACTCCTGTTGGACAAATCTGAGTCAATTTGAAGCTCGAAATGAAATATAGTAAAGAATTCAGCCAGTGAATGGCATAGTGGTTTAGGTGGCTGGATCCTACATAGTCAGCTAAACAGTCTGAGTCTAAGACCCAATCACATGAAAAATATACCAGGTGTGTGTACATGCATGCCCAAAATCCCCCATGGGAATGCTTCTGCACCTTCTCTCTCTTCTTCTCTCTCTCCTGCAAGCGCATGAGCCCTCTGACAAAATTATTTTTAAAAAAATAAAAATTATTAAAAAAATAAAAATCATAAGCCCATACTAAAACAAATAAGTACAGTTTAATGATAAAAGGATGTTTAAATAAATTCAAAATACCTCCCCACAAAATATTTTATTACAAAGAGGAAAACAGTCACTTTTCAGTAGAAAACGCTGGCAGATACCACCTTAATTCAGTAATGGGGCCATATGAAATCATGCATCACTTGCTAAGATGCAATGATCATTAAAGAACATAGCATCACTTTGGTAATATTCTTGCCAAAGAAAGATTATCTAAATCTAATCATGAGGAAACAAATCCAAATAAGGGATTACTGCAAGTCCTACAAGATAACTGGCCTGCAATCTTCAAGACAGACAGAATCATGAAAGTCAAGGAAAATCTGAAGACCTGCTCCAGAGTGAAGGGCACAAGAAGACGTGGAATCCAAATATGACACATGGTTACAGACTAAATCCTTCTGCTACCAAGCTATTATTAGGCCAACTGATGAAACTCGAAAGATTAGATGATATATCACATCAATGTTAATTTCTTGATTTTAATAATTGCATAGTGGTTATATAAAAGAATGTAGAAAAACACATATACAGTGATGACAGGTATCAGGCAACACAGTTTCAAATGCTTCAGGAGAAAAAAAGCTATACTGTACTTACAACTTTTCTGTAAGTTTGAAATTGTTTCAAATTCCTTTCCAGTTATTTTTAAACCCAGTCACAGTGGTACATAGGTACTACTACTGCTTGGGAGGCTGAAAGCCACACCAGAGGCCCAGGTTCAACACCAGGCTAACCTGAACATGCTGGGCATGGTTGTGCACATCTGTAATCCTAGCTAATTGAGCTAAACAGGAGGCTGGCACAGAAGGATTGCAATACACCAAGACTCTATCAAAAATACCTCTCTCTCTCCCCTTTTTTTCTCTCTCTCACTCCCTTCCCTCTTTGATAAAGGGAAAATGGAGGGGGGAAGGGTTCCAGTGAAGAAAAAGATTGGGAAAGTAAATCAGGAGTATATAAAAATTCTGTATGCCAGGCTGGATCGTGGACTAGTGGTTAGGACAGCAGGATCCCACATGGACAGTTGTGTGGGTTCAAGTCCAGACCCAAGAAGCTTAGGTGACAAAGAAGATGCATATGCACGCATGCCCAGAGGCCCAACAAACGGAGGAGGGGTACTGTAGCATGACCATATCCTTTAGGGCATGCTGTCTCATTCTCCCTCTTTCAGGCAAGCACACACATACATTCTGTTAAAGTTTGTTGCTTGTTTGTTTTTTAATTCTGTACGCCAAGCTAAGGAGTTTAAATACTATCTCGAATGTTTCGAAAGTTATCACTAGTAACTGAAAGATATTAAGCAAGATGTTGACATGATTAAAGGCTCATTTTTATTTTTTTATTTTTTAGAATGCCTTCCTTTCACTAAACAAAGGTCCTGGGTGTGTAGGATTCACAATATCTTCAGGTTAGAGGCACATGTAATAATAAGGTTACAGATTACTTAGCTTTTAATGGAAAAACAAAAGCTTGATTAATAAGGTCAGTAAGATGCAGGAATGTAATCCATTTACACACAATCCTTTTAATACAGCAAAGTCAATTGAGCGAGATGCACACAGAGGTAGAATAACACCAGAGTAACTCACAAGTTCCTCCACCAATTTGGGATTACCACAGGCACAAAGGTAAAGAAATAAATAGGTTCACCCTTAATCCCAATCTCAAGCAATGTAACATAGCAATGGACTCTGGGAAGACACTGTGATGCTACCATGCATCAGTCAGAAATAGGTGACACATCACAAAGGCATGCAGCAAAAAGGCAGAAATAGAAATTATACTACACTTGCAAATATTATTGTGGTTTTAACCATAAACTCTAGGAAAATCTTTATAAAGTACAGAAAAATACTTTATGATGTCCTAACATTTGTGTGTTAGTTTTACCATATATCTGAACTTTTTATCTGTTTTAAATGTTTCTTATTTATGATTTTTTGGTTAGGTCAAGGTTGTAGGTATAGCTAAACGATATAACCTCCAAATGGGGCTTCAGTCACTGCCTCCTAAGTGAGGGCTTTTCTTAACCTTTTCAAACAAGTATTTTTTAAATCTGAGTATGTAACGCTTATAAGATGCTTGGGGATCAATAGATGACATAGCAGTTATGTTACTGGACTCCCACATGACTGACCACAGTGAGTTCTAGACCCAGTGGCTTAAAAATCACACAGAGGTGGGGGGTAGGGTGGGGGTGGGGCTGCAGATGACATAATGGTCATGTTGCTGGACTCCCATGCAGTTGACTGTGGTTAAGAGTCCTGGACTCAGAGGCTTCAAACTCATGCCAGGCACATGTGCATGCATGCCCAAAATCCCAAGAGGGGAATGGAGGAGAAGGGACTGCGGCATGGCCATCCCACTGGGGGATGATTCTTGCTTTCTGTCTCTTTAGTGAGCACACGTGCTCTATAGCAAAAAATCTCAAAAAAAAAAAAAAAAAAGAAAAGAAAAAAATATATATATGCCCTATTTTCCAATCTTACATATCCACTGAACCCTTAAAAAATTAATCTCTTGAAATACAGTTTAGGAAACACTAAAGTAACTTTTCATTTTCTTCATACTTACTGTCAGACTACAATATGCATTTATGAGTGCTGCATAATCTTTAGTCCAGAAAAAATCCTAAGTGAACAACACATCAATAATTTTTCATGAGAGATAATTATAATCTTCTGATATAAGGTCCAGAACTCTACCACTAATTTACAGAATGAAACTAGATAAATATAAAAATAAAATATAACTAGCCATTTTTATTTGCTGATGATGGCAAGAATAGGCATTAGCTTAACATTCACTGAAAAACAGCTCCATTAATAACAACAAAATCCAGTACAAAATATCTTACCCTAAAAAAAAGTATTGTTTGCATAATCACAAAAAAGACACTTCCAGTGCCAATATAACTTAGCAAAATATTATCAGGAACATATAAATATACTTATTAATGGTAAAATAAAGTTATTTATATCTCTGTATTAGTATAGTTATACAATCCAACTTACAAAAAAATTGTATCTTAATTCTTCTGTTATAATACAGATAGAAAAGAAATCTAAAAAACAGAATGGGAAACAAACTGACAAAATAAAATTATAAATCACAAGGAAAGGAAAAAAAGGAAAAAGCCATCCATCAACCTTTTAGCAAAATAAGCTATTACTATGTCCATTTTTTGCAGATGATAAAACAGACTTAGAGATGTTAGGTAATCACTCAGCCAATAATGAAGAGTCTGTCCGAATTCAAAGCCCCTGCTCTTTACCAGTGCTGTATGTTGGTTTAGAATAAGAACTTTGCAGGAAGAGGTATTCCAGTTGTAGCTCTTCACCATGGAAACACTAAGTAAACTGACTTAAGCTTTATCACTATGAATAGAACAAACTAAATAGAAGGTGGTTTTTCCCCTGATAAAACCTTACAATAATGGGTAAGTCATATGAAATAAAAATGAAAGTTAATAAATAATTGTACCTAACTGAAATAATTCAAAATCTCTTCAAATATTGTTTTAACCCACATAATTAGTACTTTGCAGCATAATTAGATTGGGGATGGGAGGAATGGCATTGATGGAAAAGAGTTAAAGAAAAAAAATGTTTCAGAACAAAAGAAAAAAGGCTAATTCATTTACTCCTCCCCAAAGCTATTTGTCTTTAAACAATCAAGTCTCATTGACCTCTAGTATCATTATCTGCCATTTTAACACCCAGAAAAAAAGTTTTTAAGCAAATGCAGAGTTCTAAATGTCCCCATGGCGCTGAAAGAGCACCAATAACATATGGTTTTCTCCTTAATAAAATGTGTACATTTTTGTCTTCACATTATCTATCTATCTATCTATCTATCTATCTATATATATATATATAGGGTCATCAGAAAAGTCATGTATTTTTTTCTACATAAAAATGCATCATGACTTTTCCAATGACCCCATAAATAAATGACAGCACTTGAAACACACAGCTTCACAAATACAATATTATAATTGATAGTAAAGTTCCCACACTAGTCCAAATCCCTGAAATCAACCAACAGTGTTACCCTGGGAAAAACAACACTTGGCACTATTTTGAATTCTAATATTTCTGAGTCCATGATTGTTTCCTCTTAAACATGGCAATGAACGAAATCTTTTTTCAGGTAGACAATAGTTTTAACAACATGTTACAATTACAGTCACTAAAGTTACAAAAGATAAAATGAAAATTCCTTTATCTAATATAATGAAGAAAAGCAAGTTTAGTAGGAAGAAAAGGTAATAGCCACTTCTCAAGAATTTCAGGACTTTCAGGGTTGACAGCACTGGCTCATTATTGTATCTAATTTTACTCTGTAGGGTGTTTTTCTTAGATGTACCAACAGCATTACTCTCAAACTACCTCATCCTGATTAAGTTTATTTCTCAGTTATCATGACTTTCATACAGAAAACAAGCCCATGACCAATCAGTAAAATATAAAATTATTCAAATTTGGATTTTCTTTCTAAACCACAGAGTATCCCAAAGTTTCTCTCAAAATTTCTTTCTAACATTGACAATCAGGGAGATGCAAGGAAACCATGACCTCAGAGAGAAAGTGAAAAAATACCCACCATGGGGAATGGTCACATTACAATCCCTTCTTTACCTCTCCCTCCTTTCAGGATTTTGGGCACTTGCACACGCATACCCAGCATGTTTCTCAACTGCCATGTCTGAGACTCGAACCACTTGGGATTCAAGTGTCTTAACTATCAACCACAGACTGGCCACTAAATTTATTTTTTAAGTAAAGCAGATAATTCCCTAAATTCTAATTTCTCATGCTGAAGTAGAAGGTAGCCCATTAGATGACTAATGTACTCAGTTAGCTATTACTAGCAAATTAGTTTATAATGTAGAAGTTATTTTTACTTCTACAACTCTACTATAATTTATTGTACAGTCATACTGACATCAAAACTATTATTTTATAAACCAGCATATAAACCATAATCATTTCAACAACTTATAAAACAGAGATTGAAAATCTTATTGCTATAATTAAATAATAAATATTATTAACTTAAAGATGATCTGTCTTAAGGTATTTTTATCCCCTTGCTTCGAGGGCCTACTGACTTGATCCCATCTTCCTCTCTTGCCCAGTTTAGTTCCTCCAGCAAATTATCAGCTCCAAAAGTAAGGGATGCTGCCCAACAAAGCAATATAACTCTGAATTTTCAGTTTTCTTACTGTCAATGAAATGTTATCAACAAAACACTAACTATATCAATATAAAAGTAAAATGGACTATAACTAGGAATAAAATGAAACTAATAGAGATGAAATAATACAGACAGAATCTTAGCTAGGACTCCGTTTTTTAAAGTTACCTATTCATCAGCATTGATAGGAACATCTAGATGACGTTTTCATTAATACAAATACGAAACACAAACAGCTAGCATATAATATAGAGTATTTAATTATACTACTCTTCTATCATAAATATTTGGTCTTTTAAAGACTTTAATGAGAGACCTAGTATTTTTTTATTTTTTGGAAACTAAAAATACCAGGTAAGGCAAATCTAAATTATGTGATTTAATCCCTACAACCATCCCATATATTTCCATCAGAGACTCCTCAAAAAAAAGAACATGTCTAAAAAATTAAATTGAGGTCAATCCACAATCTTGAAGCTCTCTTAAACTAAATTGTTTTTCAAATAATATTAGAACAAAAAAGGATATTTCCCTAAAAATGTAGTAATCAACTGATACATGAAGAACAGCTGATCTATTTCAATACTTAGAAGAGAAAAGGCATACTCTGGCATTCTTAACCTAAATTCTTGTTCTAACTGAAAGACTTGTACTACTTACTCATAACACATCTCTTGACAGGATTTCCATTCTTAACCTTTTCTTACTCTTTACCCAAACTTGTGTGGTTGAGAACTCCCACATTAAAAACCTCATACTCCAACTAAAAAATCCCTGATACTTAAAAGACACTACCTAGTCCCAAAGTGAGCAAAATAACTCGTTAAAAATTCTCTTCTCTATTACTGAAAAACAATAGTTTACTTAACATAATGTACTTTTTGTAATGGCATATAGCAGACTTCTAAAAAGACAACAATGGTACTACTAAAACTTCTTTTACTTTAAGCTGAAAAGTGCCTGAAGTTATTTTAAATATGTTAATAAAAATAAATGTATTCAGCCAAATATTTACTAGATTTTTTACTTATTTTACTTAAATAAAAACATGTATAAACAAGGTTTTTATACATATGGAAGAAACAACCTCCAAGAAATCATACTTAACGGAAAATATAATTATTCAACAAAATATCTCATAACACAAACTACTATATAAACTCTAATAATTGGTAGGCACTGGAAGATATAGGTTTTTTTAAACGCAAATCATTTAAAACTATTTCTTGCTTCATATGCAGATGAGAAAGGGTATTACATGTCAATCATAATCACAGACTGGAGTGTCTCTATGGAACCATAACTGAAGAACTCAAACACCAATTGTAGAAGTACCAAAACCGTTTCTTTAAATCTTTGAAAGAAAACATGCAGAATTTCTAACTATAGGACACATGTGATGCAAAACTACATAGTACTTCATAAAATGTTACTCTACACATAAAAATAAAAGACACATACTCACAAAACCAATACCACAGTCAAAATTGTCTCACTTTTCACGAAGTCACTTAATAGATAGTTTAGATTTCTTACATTCCCAATATGAGTTTGGTTGTTTTTAAAATCAGCCTTTTCACATTTACATTTTTTTTAATCTCATGACATCATACTGTCAAAAATCTTCTGATACTGGCAAACAGAATACTTAAAGTTATTATGTATAGGTATTCCTGAGTCAATAGTTTACCCGAGAAACTGAATAAATTTCACCATCACCCCTCCCCCCCCAAATAAAACAGTAACCGCTTGACCTTTACTTCAGGAGCAAAAAAGTGTAACTTGGGAGCAAAGATATCTTAATATAAAATTGTCTAACAAACCAGAAGTATTAGTATTCCAAAGGCACATAATACTATTTGGTCAAAATGCTACAAAAGCGAGAGGACCACTACAGGTCTGGGTGACGATGTATATTTCTTCCAATAGGAAGTGTTCCCCTACAAAACATCAGAAGCTAAAGAACTTGTGCCAAGAATCCAACGTTGAAGGTCACATGGAGGGACTGCTCTCATCATTGATCTAATCCACTAGGGTAGGTCTTTTAAATCAAACCTACATTTAGAATGAAGCCAAAAATCTAGCCCCTTTAGATTTAAATTTAGAATAAAATACCTTAGGCAGGAGCTGCCCCCTAAAACATTCTCCATCAACTACTGTTACAATTTTTTAAAACTATGTATGTCATCTTATCTGACAAATGTAACAATTTTTGGAAAGGTCGTGTTTATTAATTTCCTTTGCTTGTCCTATATAGAGATGAAATAAAACCCACTGATCACAACTTTCAGATTCCTGTTGACCTAAGACAAACACAGATATTTTAAAACCTTCTCCCATTTGAACAGTCTGGGAAGGAATGTCTCTACCAACAAATAAATACCTTTCAAGTGAATGGCTGCTTTACTATCAATGTATAATACAACTGTGAGCAATAACCTATTTTTGCCCATTATAAAATGTATCCTAAATCTCATTACTGACCTAAAAACCTAAGTTCTTCATCACAAGTTTAAGCCAACCTTTAAGTCAAGGCTACGGGTGAGTAGCATGGTTTTATTCCTGGAAAAATACATTCCAAAAACTAGAGAAAAGACTGGTGTCTACTTTTTTCTTGAGAATATGTTCTTTTCATTCATTATAGTTAACTCATGGTAACTCTAACAATTAATGCCACAGATGAGTTTTTCTTTAAAAATTCGAACTTACCCCATTCTAAGTATTCAAGAATATTCTTCTCTCTTCTCAATGGAGAATTATTGCATTCATCATAAAGACAGATGAGTATATCCAGTAATGTCTCCACACTGAAGCACTGCCCATTGGTCTGAGCGGGCCCATCCAAAATGAACTGCTCCAGCTGCCTCAAACGCACTTCTCCAGACATGGCTGCTTCAAGTTCTGCTGGTTTTCCTTTAAATTATTGTTAGGCTCTTTTACTATAATTATTTGAACCTAATTTTTAAAAGCTGTGGTTTTAAAAATAAACCACTTGTTATTCAAACAACTGTCATGCAATGCCGGTGCTGAATTAAACATCCAACACACCAGTAACCTCACTTAACTGAAGCGTCTTCAATTTCACCCATAAACATGTACTTTGAGGGCAGGTTACCATAAAATATATATTTAATACATTTTTAAGAGAATACAATTAAATCGTATATTTAAATAAAATAATTAAAAGTACAACGAATTAGAGTCAACACTTCTTTACCAAAAAAAAAAACTCTTCTCCTTCATTCAAAATTCAACTCGTGCAACATAATCCTGAAACGAATCCGGCTGCATCATTAATGAATAAAGTCTGATTTGCATCAGCAATTCGCTTCCTGGGAAGAAGACAGATAGAAAAGGGAGGGGGAAAAAATGTATAGAGAAAAGAATTAAAAGTACAACTAATTAGAGTCAACACTTCTTTACCAAAAAAAAAACTCTTCTCCTTCATTCAAAATTCAACTCGTGCAACATAATCCTGAAACGAATCCGGCTGCATCATTAATGAATAAAGTCTGATTTGCATCAGCAATTCGCTTCCTGGGAAGAAGACAGATAGAAAAGGGAGGGGGAAAAAATGTATAGAAGGGGGAGGAAAAAACAAAAATTGGGCTGCAAATCCTCCCAACCACCACTTGGATAATGCATCAGCGGCAATTTCTCCAGCGGGAAAGGGAGGGGGCGAGGTTCCTGAAGCAGCCCCTGGGCTCGGAGCAAGCCAAGTCTTGCAGGAGGAGCCTTTTTCTTTCTCCTCCCGAGATCCTTCTCTTTAAGGCTGTGCAGTGAGTCCTATATCCAACGGATCCCGGTGCAAACTCTTCATTTTCCTCCCTGTGTCTCCCAGGGGCCTGACCCGCAGCGCGGCCGGAGTGGGGGAAGGCGGGCTGCGGTCGGCACTCGCACCCCGGCTCCGAGCAGAGGCTACTTGGCTGCCCGAGCCCGCTCCATGTCTGGGGTCGCTCGTGGGCCGCGCCGCACCGGGCTGAGAGCCGGGGCTCCCCCCACACTCGCCCCGCGGCCGCCCCGCCGGAGGATCCCGACGCCCCTGGCGAGAGGGGGGTGCTCTTCTGAATTCAAAGGACACGGGCGGGGCCGGCGGGCGTGGCGGCTGCCCTCG